CACATAATTGTAGACCATCTTTGTATGTCTTGGCCTTAGTTCACTGGCAGGATACACAGGGACCCTCCATCTGACTTTGTTAAGGATGTTCACAGAATCACAAAGTGCCTTGTTAGAGCATCAGGGCTTTAAAAGGCACTCATGCTGAGTCCATCAACCAGAGTATACACCTGTAGTTATCAGCACAGGAGAATGAAGCCTGCACTTCCTGGTGGTCAGTTCCAGGACTATTTGTCAGTCCCAGGTAGCTGAAGATAACTCTGAGGCCATTAATGCAATTCCAAGGGGTTCCTAATCCACCCATTGTTTCTCAAGGTTATTTGAATGTTAACAAAGGACTATCTGGGGCATCCCGATTCTATATTATCTGGAGATTATCAGAGTTCTTTGTGGAAACACTGCAAAATAAGCTTTTTATCATTCTCCAGGCTTTATTTGTGTTCTTCAAAATTAATTGGAGAAATAATAGAACTTTCTAACACAGTTCAGTTATAATATAGATTAGTGCTATCATGTAGAACTTTTTCTGATGATGAAAATGTCCACTATGGTAAATTCTAGGCACATGTGACTATAAAATTTTAATAAATTTAAATTTACATGTAGTATTCTCATGGAGATAGTGGCTACAGTTTATATAGTGCCATTCTAGTTCAAGTTGTCCTAAAATGTTTCTCTCCCTTCTAAAAGTAGGGAGATCAATCATGAACATTAAAAATCACTGCAGGTTTGTCATATATGGCTTTTATTGTGTTGATATACTTTCCTTCTATACCTAATTTGCTGAGAGTCTTTATCATGAAGTGGTGTTGAATTTTGTCAAATGCTTTTTCTGCATCTATTGAGATAATCATATGGTTTTTGTCCTTGTTTTTGTTGATGTGGTGTATCACATTTACTGACATGTATGTTGAACCATCCTTGCCTCCCTGGGATGAATCCCACTTGATCATGATGTATAATTTTTTTGATGTGTTGCTGTATTCTAATTGCTAATATTTTGTTGAGGATTTTTCTGTCCATGTTCATCAGAGATACTGGCCTGTAGTTTTCTCTTTTTGATGTATCTTTGTCTGGTTTTGGTGTCAGGGTGATGCTGGCCTCACAGAATGAGTTTGGGAGAGTGGCCTCTGTTTCAATATTTTGGAATAGTTTGAAGAGAATTGGTATTAATTCCTCTTTAAAGGCTTGGTAGAATTCATCAGCAAAGCCATCTGGTCCTGGGCTTTTCTTTGTTGGGAGACTGCTGATTATTGCTTCAATCTCATTTCTTATTATTGGTCTGTTCAGGTTTTCTATGTCTTCTTGGTTCAGTCTTGGTAGTATGGATGTGTTGTTCACTCCCAAACTTCCTCTCAGGTAATCATTCAACTCAAATTGCTGTTTACTACTCTGTCAAGATGCAGATGGTAACTGTTGACAGTACTAACTTTGGGGACTTCTAGGCTATACACTTGTTATCCAAGATGAAAATAAAATACATTTCACTTAGGGTATCATCTAGTGAAATTTAGCCTAATTGTCACATTAAAAAAAATTAGGCATGAGATCTTAGACCATAGGAAAATGAATTTAATAGAATTTAGTGAAATAGAAAGAATATCATCTGGAATGGAAAAGGTACGGATTTGTTATTATTCCAGTGATTCTTTTTCTGTGTCTTTTTTTTCCCCTTGTTTTTGTTTGTTTGTTTCTTTTGGCGGTTGGCCAGTATGGGGAAGTGAACCTTTGACCTTGGTGATACTAGGCTGTGCTATAACCAACTGAGTTAACTGGCCAGCCCCTCCAGTGATTCTTTTTTTATTTTTAATTAAAAAAGAATTTTAATTGAAACATAATTGATTATTCATATTTTGGGGGTATAGTGTTGACTACCAGTATTTGTGTGCAATATGTGATGATCAAATAAATGTTATTATCATGTTCATTATTGTAGAGCTAGGGCTAGGGTCTGGAGCTAACAGACCCCTCGAGCCCATTCACAAACCCTTCACATGCAGGTCTATGAGCTAGGTAACTGGCATAAAGGTCCTTGGAGGCTTGGTTGAAGAAGGAATAGTCTTTTATTCAGCACACACACGTCTAGGAGCTAGGCAGTACAAAGAGAAACTCAGAAACTCCATTGCTACTGGCAAAGTCCAAAGAAAAACTGAGCAGCTGCCAGCAGAGTAAACATGCTTTATTTTTAGACACAAGCTCTGCCGGCCAACTTCTGCTTCACAAACTCAAGAACACACAATAGCAACAGAACTAAAAAGATACATTGGTGCAGGTGTGCACTAACTCCACCCACACACAACTTGTTTACAAGGAATGTGCTGCTTGACCCCCAACCAGACCTAAGCCGAGGGAGCCTGACTAAATTATCCTATTTTCCCCACAATTATTACATGATCCTTTGTGTCCCTTGCCCAATTTCTCCCTAATCCCCCTCCTCTTCCCCTTTCCCACCTGTAGTAACCATAGGTCTGTTCTCTCCTTCTGAAAGTTCAACATTTTACTGTGGTCTGTCTTCTCTCCCTTCCTCCTTCCCTCCTTTCTTTTCTTTCTCTCTTTTTCTTTTCTTTCTCTCTTTTTCTTTTCTTTCTCTCCTTCCTTCCTTCCTTCCTTCCTTCTTTCCTTCCTTCCTTCCTTCCTTCCTTCCTTCCTCCCACTTATAAATAAGGACATGCAGTATTTCTTTTTCTTTGCCTGGCTTGTTTCACTTATCAAAATTTTCTCCAAGCTCATCCATGTTCTGCAAATGGCAGAATTTCATTCTTTTTTATTCCATTGTGTATGTATACCACATTTTCCTTATCTAGTTGTCTGTCAATGGACATTTAGGTTGGTTCCATATCTTGGCTGTTGTAAATAGAGCTGCAGTGAACAAGGGAGTGCAGGTATCCTTTCGACATGATGATTTCCATTCCTTTGGGTATATATCCAGAAGTGGGATTGCTGGATCGTATGGCAGATCTATCTATTGTTGTTTGAGAAACCTCCATACTGTTTTCCATAATGGTTGCACTTGACACAGTAGCAAACAGCAATTTGAGTTGAAAGCCAATGATTAGCTGAGAGGAAGGTGGGGAGTGAAGGAAGGTAGACAAGCAGGGCACAGGGCTGTCCTGAAATGCTGCTTTCATAATTTGCCGCAACTTCCTACTTCATTTACTCCTTATTCTGCTTCATCTCATCTTAAAATGGTCAGATTTAAACATTTGAGGCAGGCACTAGGCCAACGATGATGATGAAGATGATGATAATGATGATTACAATCACAGTATGAGAAGCAGCTGCCAATATTGACTTTCTAACCCTCACAATCTTGGGTCATGTTTGGTCACAAGTGTACATTGAGCCTTCCCTTGGGGAACCGAGCTGCCAGAAACAATGAGTATTGTCTTTACAACTAAGCAGGTGAGGGACTGGAATATCCCAAGAGGGCATGCTCTAAGGCCCAGGGCAGCAAAGACCATCATGTTCTCCTGGGTGAAACGACCAAAATGCCAAAAATAATATGCCAAAAGCAAAATCAAATGGTAACTGTCACCTGTTTTTCCTAGTAAGTTACCAACAGGAACATGTCATCTAATGTGGGAAATTAATGAAGTAAAGCTGTCACCTCCCCAAGCCACTACTGTTTGTTTTTTGTCAGCACTAAAAGGAGCAAACTATCCTAGAGACATAAGCATATTGGATTTTAGACCTTTAACTTTCAACTTCCTGTTAAAAAGGCAAAACTTTGGTAACTACATAAATATGACTAATATTTTCCATTTCAAGCCTTAGACCACAAAGTGCCAGTGTTTAGAATAAGCCAGTCGTGGTAGGAAGTGGGCATGCCACACCCAGCAACCAGAAATTTGTTATGACTCCGGCCAGTTTATTTTAATGAGAACACGGTCAATGCTGAAGGAGACAAAATAAACTTACAATAAAAATATATTTATGGAGCAGTTTCAAGCCCTTAGATTTAGCCAGATTAGCATTACTAATTTATAAGCATTCCATTTCTACCCATTCTTTTTATTATATGCATATAGGGTCAAAGAGAGTAAACATAAAAAGTCAAGAAACCTAGACCTTAGTGCAAACCAGCATTTGAAAACTGTGTGTTAACCTCTTTTGAATAATGGAAAACATGAATAATTCCTCTTTAATGATATACTCAGCCACTTCATAAACTCAAACTCTTCTCTCCAACAAATACAGTATCCTCTTCTATCATCTCAATGGTTCTTAACCAGAGAGCAATTTTGTCCCCCAGAGCTTGTTTAGCAATGTCTGCAGATATTTTTGGTTGTTATAAGTCGGTGGGGGTGCTACTGGCATCTAGTAGGTAGATGCCAGGGATGTTACTAAAGACCCTACAGTGGATAGGACAGCCCCAAACTACACAGAATTGTCCATCCCCAATGTCAATAGTGCCATGATGAAGAACCCCTGCAACATCCAGACGTGGATGGGGATCTGTCTTTCCAGGAGGGGAACAAGGTGGAAGAGGTTTGAGGAAGACCATCTGCTGCCTCACTTGATCTTCCGTGCTTACAGCAGAGCACACACTTGCAAGCAGGTCAGCTTGGATTACTCAGCAATTCTAATTTGGGACAGAATATTCTAGAATGTGAAGCTACTGAACTGTTTGCAAACATTAATATGCAACTTTCAAAAACTTAAGAGTCACAGAAATAATTTGCAGTCTGTGGACCAACGTTAGTAAAAACACAATTGCTAACAAGAACAATAAAGAACATGTTCCAAAATATTTGAAACTGGACATTTCTCTTGGCCAGTCTCCACATGACATCATTTTGACATCTTAAAATTGGTCAAGAAAGAACTTTCCACATTTATTTTAGTAGACAAATAGAGAAACAGTCATTCTCACATATAATCTTAAAGCATATAATCCCACACTGGAATGCCAATGACCCATAGCCACAAATGCTTAACACATGTGATTGTTATAAAACCAACAAGCCTTTCTGCTCTCTTTGAGGCAGAAGTGGACTCACAGGCTCGGTTCCGGGTTTTGTAAGTGCAGGTATAGAGGCTGCAGGGCCTCACTGGCATGGACCTCGGAAGCTGGAACCTTTTCCAAAGTGATTTGCATGGAGAGACTCCAAGAATGACCCTCAGGCTATTCATCACCAACATCCTTAGCTTGAATTCTCTATCACTTCCCAAATAACTTGAAGGGACCTAATACCCTAAAGGGAGGAAGGCAGAGGAGGAAAGCTGTAAACAATAGAGATTTGAGATCCCTAGGAATCCTCTAGGTAGGATAACAACATTCAGAACAGCAGTACACACCCTGAGGGGCAGGGAGGGCCAGGGTTTATGCGCTCTTGTTCCTCAAACCCATTGGTCCCCTTGGTGGAGGGCAGGGTCAGATGACTGACTCATGTTTTCTTTTCCCTTGGGGTTGGCAAATATTAGAGGTCCAGAGAAAAGATTCTCTTTATCTACAGGAATGAAAAGACTGTTTACAGTACAGTTTCTTATAGTTAAAAAGTAATTTACTTCCTGAAATTCAGCATGGTATTTTCATGTAGGAAGAACCCAAAGGTTAAAGCTTCCTCTAGGCAGCCTGAATAAAAATAACATCTGTATCTGGATTGTTTAAAAAAAAAAAAAGGAAAAGAAACCTAAGATACATCCTGCCAAAATAGTCATAGGTGGTTTTGAAATCTAAGCTTAAATATAATCTGTGACTTTTGCCAGTGTAAGGTGTAACACTCTGGTCCTTGAACATGGGAAAATGGGCAAGGTGAATCCTGAACTCTCTCTCTACCTCTTGCATGTTCACAAAGTCTCAGATGATGCTTTCCAAGGTATTCACAATGCTGTTTTGGAATTACAGTCACATCGGCTGTGCACACTTCTCTTCCCCTCCCCCCTCCAATATTGCTTCATTCATTTTTCCTGAAATCTTCCATCCCTGTACCAAGTGAGCAAACAAGTTCTGAAATTTAAGAAACATTTTTTCCCTTGATTACACAATCATTCCACCACAGATTTAGAAGTGTTTAGCGGGATTAGTTGAGATGCTTTCAGACAGCTGTTGGGGACACCATCTGAGCAACCATGGGGCTGGTATGGCTGTGAGACTGGACCCTGGCCTTGTGGAGCCCTCAGCCTCACATCCACTGCCTGCCCCCGGCCCCACGGACTTTGCTTCTCCATGTCCTGCCCTTCTTCAGCCTGTGCTGATGCTCTTGCTTTCCTGGACCACCCGTCCTCCATCTTGGCCTGGATCACTCCCGCCCACCCTTCAGGCAACTAACTGCGGCATGATCCCTCGAAGCCTCCCTGAGCACCTGCTCACCGGGTTGGCCCAGCACCCTCTTCTTGGGCCCAGCACTTGTGGCAGCTGGAGGAAGCACCTGACCAGGAATGTCCTTTACGACTCCATCCTCCCCAGCAACTAAGCCCCACGGTTGTGGGGACTGTGTCTGTCTCCATCACAGCTGCATCTCTCAAGACCTGGTTCCCCACAGGTGTTCGAGGTACTAGCTGAAAGACCTCAGGAGGCTTCCTTGGTGACAGAGATTTTAATGTCAAGAACTGAGAACCGTGACATGATGGCCAGCATGACATGACAGTACTGAGGGCTTTCTCAAATGCCACCACCCCCCAATTGTAGGACCGTTTATACTTTCCAAACTTTTAAATGCTTGTCCTTTAGAAGGAGAGTCTCATATCCCTACCTGTAAGATCCAAAGGACCCCCAAAGTCCTGCCTGATCTATAAGAGGGGCGTAGCCGAACATGAACCTGACCTAGCCTCACAGGGACGGGAGCTCTGTCAGTTAGCATTTCCATCCCAACATCTACTGCATTTCTTCTGCTGCAGGCACTGCATCGGGTGCTATGATGCAAAGGTGAACAAGATCATGAAAAGGAATGAAGTCCTGGTACTTGGTAAGAAGGCGGATGAACCTTGAAAACATGATGCTAAGTGAAAAAAGCCACACACAACGGTCACGTAGATTCCATTCACAGGAAATACTCATGACAGGGAAATCTATAGACAGAAAGCTGGCTGGTGGTTGCTAGGGGTCAAGGGAAGGAGAGATGGGGAGTGACTGCTTAGTAGGTGTGGGGTTTCTTTTTGGGGTGATGAAAATGTTTTGGAACTAGACAGAAGTGGTGGTTGTATAACATTTTGAATGTTCTAAAGGCCACTGAATTATACCCTTAAAATAGCTTAATTTTATGTTATACAAAGTTTACCTCAATCATGTTTGTATTTAAAAAAAAAAAGGTGAACATGGAAACACACAGCAAAGCAGGTCACAGCAGTATGTCTGCCTCCTGAGATTCTGCCATCCCCTGTCAAAAGGAGGGCTCTCAGCAGTGTGGCCTTGACTGGGGGGCAAAGGCACAAAAAGAGAAACTGAGGGGCACTAAAGACACATTTCTTTCTTTTTTTTTTTTTCGTGACCAGCAACGGATTGCAACCCTCAGTGTCGCGCCTGTACCGGACCGGGACCGGCAACGGGATCGCAACCCTCGGTGTTGCCCCCGCTCCTCGCTCAGCCAGTGAGCGGCCAGTCTGTATGTGGGATCCGAACCCTCGGCGGGAGCGCTGCTGCGCTTCCCAAGCGGCGCACTGTAGCAGTGCGCCACCGGGCCGGCCTAAAGACACATTTCTTTCTTTTTTTTTTTTTTTCGTGACCAGCAACGGATTGCAACCCTCAGTGTCGCGCCTGTACCGGACCGGGACCGGCAACGGGATCGCAACCCTCGGTGTTGCCCCCGCTCCTCGCTCAGCCAGTGAGCGGCCAGTCTGTATGTGGGATCCGAACCCTCGGCGGGAGCGCTGCTGCGCTTCCCAAGCGGCGCACTGTAGCAGTGCGCCACCGGGCCGGCCTAAAGACACATTTCACTCATAGACCTGAACTTTATTTCTTCATATCATCTTTTCAAGAAGAGTGTAAGATACAAAACTCACGTGATCCCCAGCGATGCTAAGCAAGGAGGCCAACATAGTGATTTCACCCGTCTCTTTTCATGCATGTCCCTGCTACTAGCTGGCTGTGAATTAGCTCTTCTCTCTGTACTGCTGTCCTTGACCCTGCTGCACCTGAGCTACAGGGAAGAAGGCTACACCTAAGTGAAAACAGAGAAAATCACATCTGATTAGCTGTGTCCAATGAAAGTGGGAAGCAGAGTTACTTCCTATCACTACCCACAAGGAACAATTGAGGGGTCCAGGCAGAACTCTTTAACCGGCTATCAACAAGCCATCTGCCTGGAGAAGTGTTCAAAGTTAATGTAACTGTAATTCCAGAACACCATAGTGAATACCTTGGAAAGCATCATCTGAAACTTTGTGAACATGCAAGAGGTAGAGAGAGAGTTCAAGATTCACCTTGCCCATTTTCCCACGTTCAATGGCCAGAGTGTTACATCTGTACCAGTCTTTAGCCCTGGTGCCATGCGCTTTGTATGTGCATGAGTTTGGGAATGTATCCACTGAACTCAGAGGGCCATCGCGTAAAAGGGAACCAGTAGGAAGTTTGTGAATCCTACAGTGGCTCCTCACCTGCAGGCCTAACTCCCTACCTGGGGTCTTTAGGCCAGGGACATCTAATTTATGTATGCACTGCCCAAGAGGTGTTTTACATTCTCAAACCAAAGTTAAAATCAGTTTTCTTTATCCCTTTATGTGTATATTTGTGTGTATGTATTTTTGAAGGGAGCATGTACGTCAAAATGTACCTTATTTAAGATATGCAAAAGTTTGACTCAGGATTTCAAACACAGACTGGTAATAAACTTCCAAGGGATTATCTTGATAGTGCCTTGAGCCAAATAATAGCACCTTGTTTTCAAATACCCTCCTTAACTGAATTAACTGAGCAGGTTTACAGAATATTAGACCATTGCCACCTCAATTCAGAAGCTAATTCTGCTTTTTTTCCCCTTTATTTTGTATTATGGAAAACTTCAAATTCATACAAATATAGTGAGAAAACTATAATAAATCCACCCATGAATCCAATATTCCATTTCAATAATTATGTGTTCAAGGTAAATCATGTTTTATTTACACCCCCCCCTTCCACTTTCCAGGTTATTTTAAAGCAAATCCCAGACATCATATCAACTCATTCATAATTTTATTTTTATAGGGAAATAACCTCCTATTTTATAGTTTCTTTTCCATAAAAATGATCTGTATGAAACAGCCCCTGGTGATAGTTTATTACAGAATATGAAAACAATAAATTTTTCAAAATTAAAAAGATAGCAAAAAAGCCTAGTAACCCAATAGACTTTCTCAGTATCAACGTAACCTTTCATGTAACCACTTTACTTTTCTCTTGATATCTTCACCCTCTTCTTGGATAAGAGCTCAGATTAGGAACTTTATATTCTTCCTAACTTGAAAGACCATGTTCAGCATAAACTGCATAATTTATAATTGCAGGGCTGATCGGTTAGCTCACTTGGCTAGAGTGTGGTGATGACAACACTAAGGTCAAGGGTTTGGATCCCCTTAACTGGCCAGCTGCCAAAACAAAACAATCAACCAACCGAACAAAAAAGCTATAATTGCAGCTCAGCAGAGTAAAAGGATTATATGAACTGAAATGCTTAAGATTAAGCCTTAATAAAAGAAGACACAATAATCACAACAATTCGTTGAACTTGTTAAGTCAAGTGAACAGACATGATGTTGATGGGGGGAGGGGGGAGAGGGAGGGAGGAAAAGGAGAAATTGGTAAAGGGACACGAAAATCAACTACATTGTATATTGATAAATTACAATGAAATGATAAAATAAAATAATAAAACAAAAATCCCACAAAGTTTGGCTTATGTAATAGAACCAAGTTGTGACTGAAGAAAACATGTCCAGCTATGAAAACAACAAAGTATAGTGTTCAAGGTTCCCATAAGCTTTATTGCTATTTTAACTTCCATGTGCAATGCTCAATTCATAGTAAATCTTCCCTTTTTTTAATAATTTGTGAAACTGAAACAAAAAGTGTGAGACAGAAATATTTAGTGATAAGCTAATAAAGCATACATTTTAGTAAAAAAAAAAAAGATTAAGGCTTAATGTACACCCTTAAAACTTAGCAAGAGTCTAGTACCAGAGGAGCAGGAAAAATAGTTGTTCAATAACACCGCAGAAGAAGTTGACTCTGTGACTTGAAATGGTACAAGCTATGAGAAAGCTCTCTGAAAATGCTAGT